GGGGGCGCAGAGCCACGCCTCACGCAGCAGGTCAGCGGCACGTGGCCGCAGTGCCGGCTCCAGCGTCAGCATGCGCCGCACGCTCGCCTTCGCCTCCGCTGACACAGACCGCCACGGACCCTCGGATAGTTCCACCTGAAAAATATCATTCATTCATTATTAAATTAGTTTTTGTATTGAACTACATCCTACGGAGAAAAATAATACGTTTACATATCCTAATATTTCTCTCTAGATTTTCTTTATCAAAACACAAATGTAAGGAAAGCGTTCTAATGAAAAATAAAATGTTTAATTGGTAAATGTAAGATTTGGTTTATTTTTAAATAATTGAATGGCATCTTTTTTACCTTTCCAGATTCGATTCTCGCCAAAATAGCTTCCGGAGTATCATCGCCAGTGGAAGCAAACGGAGTCCGGCCGGACAGCATTATGTACGCCAGCACGCCTGTTATTATCAAAATATATTTTCAAAAGGAAGAAAAAAACACGATGTAAAATTCTTATCTTTTAAAAAAATCATTGAATTTCTAAAACTTACTTTTTTTGAGCTCTTGAACAAGATATTAATAATTTATTTCATCGATTTACCGTCCACACACGCATTGTCGTACTTGTAGAAAAACATTTATATCTACCTAAGCTCCATATATCGCAGGCGGCATCGTATCCAGCTCGCTTGAGCACCTCAGGGGCGACAAAATTGGCAGTGTAGCAGGGCGTCATCAGCAGACCATTCTCCGCGCGCAATTGCTTCGCCAGACCGAAGTCCACCAGCCGGATATCCTCAGCACGTCGCTCGCAGCGAGCGAACAAGATGTTTGATGGCTTTATGTCTCTATACACCACATTGATATTAAATTAGTAAAAGGTCAGCTGAAATCATAACAAATAGACCGCGGCATTCACTTTTTCTTCCAATCCTTTCCTTATAAGAAAATGGTGTACAGAGATAGATGATTAAGGCCGCCTTTTTATATATATTATAGGTGGCACACGAGGAAGCATCCACTTGGACGTCCCAAAATTGCGAAGCGACCGCTGCTGTCGCCTATCTTTAAGGGGGCTCTCCAACGTAAGATTGGATGAGATTTGACTCGACCCCCTCCCCTCCTTAAACACCTCACGTAATTTATGGACGCCCACTAATCGACGGGAGAAACTAAACTCTAAGACTGGTAGAGAGCGTGTAGATGAGAGAGACCTGTGCACGACAGTGTGCCTGTGCAGATAGTGCACGGCCTGCAGAACATTGGCGAGCAGCGGCGCGGCCTCGTGCTCGGGCAGGTGGCGGCGCTGCGTGATGTACTCCAGCAGCTCGCCGCCGCGACACAACTCCGTCACCGCCAGGATGCGGCCCCCCTCCTCGTACACGCCGCGCAGCGTCACTATGTGCGGGTGTTGACTGTATCTGTGTACATACACATATCTATTTATATCTTATCTATATATAAAATATAGTATATAAAAGAAAGAAGAAGAAGTGCTAATACACATTTCGTGCATCTTTAATGTCATCTATCTGATTACAAATCTAGATTTTGTTAATTTGGGATGTTAGTATGATTAGTACCATATATGTTCTAATGATAATTTTCTTATAAACATCTTAAAAGAGAATAAACTGGCATACCTTAATAGAATTTCAATTTCCTCACGCGGATCATATTGCATTTTGTCCATAATTTTAACAGCATATTGTACTCTAGATGTTTTGTGCTCGCAGAGACGGACGACGGAAAACGACCCTGTTCCCAATTCACCCATTAATCTAAAAAAAAACATTCACGGATCATTTATAAACTGCATGATACTATATTAAAAACTATTTAGTGTCGACTAGTCCTGTCCACTTATACTGCATTTTGTGAAAAAAAATCAATTTCTTATACTAATCTATCTCTGAGTTTGTTCACTTGTAACTGACCTGTATTCATCAAAGAAATTATTTCTATTGACAAAACCAGACCAAAATTCTTCAGTTGAGGTCTTTGTTTGTGGCGTGTGATTTTCATTTTGATTCACTAGGGTTTTGTTGTCATCATTGAGCAAACATGGAGCGACGAAACTGAAACCTCTGGAATGAAAATATTTATTCAATTAATATATTATTTTTAATTGAATTCTTCGACATTAGTAAAAAAGAAAGAAGAATTTAACGCATCAGTAAAAATCTCAGATTACTTAAAATATAATAAGTAAATTTTATTCTAATTGTGGGAAAGATAACTCTAGTAAGAACTTTCTTTAATTGCTGGTCATATAATATAATTTCTGTACATTATCCACACCCCTTATTAAGTTGACACTAACTAAAAAAAAAACATAAATCACATTCCTTTGCAAGCAAGCAACATAGTTGAAATGTATTTAGTATTTATGGATATAAGCATATAAGCATGAAACAAAGTTAAAGTTAATCCAATTACTTGACATGCAAAGTTTGAATATATTTGCAATACTACATTTTTATACCAAGCATCATGAGGTTTCTTTACCTATAAATCTTATTATTATTATAAATGCGAATTTTTGGATGGATGGATGGACGTTTGTTAGAAGGTATCTCTAGAATACGAAGACATCCGTACGAGTATTTGTAATAATCAGTACTGTATTTATTCATAAATAATGATAAAAATCTTTGATTATAAATTACTAGCTATCGCCCGCGACTCCGTCCGCGCTATACCAAGTTTCAGATAGATCCATACAGTCGTTCCGGTGTTTCCTTCTCACAAATATCCATTCATCTATCTATCCATCCATCCAAGCATTTTGTTTTGAAAAAAATGTGTAGTTGAAAGTTGTTTTATTTAAGTGCCTGCGGTGAAGGCCTATGGAAATTATACATTACAATTAACTTTACCTGAATAATTCATGTGCATTAGCCGATGCGGGCACTCCGGGGGAGTCACGTGGTGTTCTACATGTGAACTCTGAATCAAAGTAAAACGCGTCATCAGCTCTCGACACGGCCGGTCGGAATGGTGGAATCACCTGTCAGGAAAAGATTACATGTATTATTATATAAAGAAATTGAAAAATTAAAATATACAACTAATCTGAGGCCATACATTTGTCTTTGTTACGTGATTTGCGTAAATGAAATATGCAGTCATAAGTGTCTCGGTATGATGGTTTAAATAAATGATCAATCATCTTTTATCTTGGCACAAATAAACTTCCGTAATTGAGTAACAAATATTGTCTTTCTCTATGTTTCCACTGCGCAAAACATAATTATCCTTTATGATTTTCTTTGAAAAAATTAAAATATAATATGTTAATACTAATGTTTCGTTAGTGTGAACATACAGGTAGATAATTAACAAACCTCTTTCTTAACGAGTGCATCCCAATCAATACTTGTAAAGAATTCATGGCTTTTTATATCTTCAATTCCATTGGGGCCAGCACCTAATCTGTAAGATAACACTTTTAATATGCCTTATTTACTCCCATAAATTAAACTAGCTGTTGCCTGAGTCTTCGGCCGCGAGGAATTACAAAAATCTCCTAACAAATGTAACTTATAGCACTTAGGGAATGTGTAGCTTGCCAACGGTGAAAGATTTTTTTAAATTGGTCTAGTGGTTTCAGAGCATTTCTATTCAATGCAAACAAACAATCAAATCTTTAAAATATTAGTATAGGTAATCTTATTTATCTTACCTATTCAGTGGATTACGTTTAAACAATGCACGGAGTAATGATTGAGCTTCTTCACTTAAATTTGATGGCATACCAAGTTTGGCTTTTAATATCTGTGTCATTGTCTCATGCCTTGTTGAACCATGGAATGGCAAATTGCCTGTTAACATCTCAAACTGAAAGAGAATAACAATTTTTAATATTAAATGTAACATAGAGTTGTTAAGAAATCATAAGATTAAAAATTAATTTAACACATTCGACGCGACAACGAATTTTGTATTCAATAAAATATCGATTTGTTGTAGTCGATATTGATAATCAAACAGAATTAAAAAAATACATGCAGTAATACTAATTCAAATAATATAAATTATAACATACCATAAGCACTCCAAAAGACCACCAATCTGCAGCAAAGGAATGTCCTTTTCTATTAACAACTTCAGGTGCCATATATTCAACAGTGCCACAGAAACTGTAAGCTTTATCACTACTAGGAGGAAGTTTTGAAAGGCCAAAATCGGTAAGAGCTATATGACCATCTGCGTCTAACAAAATATTTTCAGGTTTAAGATCCCTGTATATGATACCCAACTTATGAACATGTTCTAAAGCTAATGCTAGCTCCGCTAAATAAAACTTAACATCTTCTTCTGTAAACATTACCTAAAACAATTCATACAAATATTATTAATACTATTACACTATTGCTCATTATCCTTTTATTTATATTTTACCTCTTTACTCAGTCGCGAAAATAGATCGCCGCCACGAAGGAAGTCCAGTATTAAATATAATTTGCCTGCAGTTTGGAAGGCATAATGTAATTTAACAATAAATGGATGGCCCATTTCTACTAATATATTTCTCTCCATTTTTGTACGTTCGCGATCTCTTACTTTTAATGTAGCCTTCTTAAGTACCTTAAACAATAATATTACAAGTGGTAAAAATGGGAAATTCATCACTAATGTGGTATTTAAATTCAATTTTAAGCAAATAGGATTCTTAACATATGACTTTTAACTTTAAAGTAATTTAGTAACCTAACATAATTGTATTATTATGAGCTTATTTTGGTTAATATCACAGTAAATAATTAATTCATAAATTGATTACCTTCATAGCGTAAAGAGTTCCAGTATCAGCACCACTAACTTTTCTTACTAAAAATACTTTACCAAAAGAACCTTCACCAAGGACTTTGAGCAATTCAAATTGTGATGGATCTGCCTTCTCATGGCCCTCCTTGACAACATCTTGTAGTTCCACTTCACGTTCATAACTGATATCACTTGAATCAAGGCTTTCTGTTGTCGAAGTTTGACGGGATTCAGCTAAATTTTCAACAACCATCGGAAGACTGTTCGTTGATTGGGTGCTGAGGCCTCGCTGCATGTAAACAAGATGTTCAATTTAGTTGGTTACTTAAAACTTATAAGGAAAAATTATTATACAAATAAATGGGAGTTGAAACTAGACAAATGATGTCAATCAACAACTTTAGTTCATTCCGCAGTTTGGATTAAATGAATTAAATTGGCATGAATTATAAAAATAAAGTCAAAAAAATAAAACAATTCACAAATCCTGTTGCACTCTATTTACTTTTAAGATTTTGTATAAATGTCACCTGAAAAGCTGTTGATTGATAGATTCAAAGATTGATTGTACTTTAAGGAACTAAAGAAGAACAAATAAGGTGTGGTTACTTTGACATTGCACTTGTTTATGCATAAGGTAAAGGAAAGTGATGTAAGCATATTATATGGCTTCATTGTTAAATTACAAAGATCAATACCTTTATAACATGCTATTGCATTTATCACAAAGTCCGCACATACCACTTTTGTGGCTTACCTTGAATCTAAATTTAAAACATAGTTTGTTGGTATCTTAAGGCAAAACTATTATTGAGTTAGGTGTTGTCTATTATTAAAATGGTTCTTTTATATAATACTGGCAGTAGTATGCAATTAATGTGTTAAAATGTAGATTTAGAAGATAGTTAAGTTTCTTTCTTAATGGTAAGTTAATGTTTTAACATATTAATTTGTAGTAACGTAATGTAAAAAATTTTGACTAAACATGTTACATATTTAAAAATTTTGAAACAAGTAACAAAGTAAGAAAAACCATGAATTTATAATATGATTAGATATCAAGTTCTGTGAAGGACCTAATTATTTTAGACATTAATTTGATTATTTAGCCAATGGAGCATTATTGAAAAAGGGAAAATCTAATAAAGGCTAATTGACTACTACACAAAAAGTTTTAAATAGAAGGTAACCAATTTATAGACAATCTTTTTACAAGTGATAACATTTCCCACATTTTAAGTATATCAGTTACTTGGTATGTTTAAAATTCCTATATGAATAAAAAATAATACGGAAAAAGTTAAGTTGAATAATTTACTACCATGTTATCACCAACATTCTGCATTCGCCAAGGATCGGAGGAATTCGCCAAAGGCATGTTGTCTGTCTTCCAGAAGCAAACATTCAGTAAAAAATGTGATTTGAATTAAAATAGTGGTTAATACTGCAAACTAAGGCAAGAAATTTGTATTTCAAAGCTTGGGTGGTGTCATAAATAAAATATTAAAACTAGAGAACGATTCGTTCGCAGATGATTTGATTGTCACTTTGTCACTTCTTCATGGTCATTCATTGGTCACTTAAATTTCATACGTCACAGATGTGACTAAACAGTAAAGATTAAAAAATACATTTTCTAAAACATAGGCTTCCTAGGAAAATAAAAGGTAAAACTTTACAATAGCGAATTATGCCGAATTTTCATGAAATTAATTTTAAACGATAGGTTCTGGATATCTCTTGTACACTGTTTTGAAGCTTTGTTTGTTGGTCGTAACTTATTTCAGATAAAAATATAAAAAGTCGCAAAAAATGACATGGTGCTGATCTGATGATGGAGCTGGAAAGTGGCCATAGGAACACTGTAATGAAACGTCGCAACCTCATCGCATTTGATATCGTTTGAACCTTGTTGATGTTTTAGTCCTTAAAATAAGAAGAACATAAGAAAAGTGTAAAAATGCTTGTTCTTAAAAATATTTTTTTTCTTTCATTTCTGGTTAGTTGTATTAAAAATTATAATAATAAAGATAAAAAGGATCCTATATAAATGTCTCAGAAGTTTATGAAAGTGACTTTAAAGTTTTTTTTTTGGGAAAAATAATTTTTTTCTTATTATTAATGACATTTTCCAAATATGTCACTTAACAGAATATTTTACGATACTTACTCGATTATGAGAAATTTTTTTAAAAAGGATTCTGAAACATACGTGCCAATAGAAAAAGTGAATGTTGATAACACAACAAGTAGAATAATAGGCGATTTCGGTAGATGGCAATTAAAAATAAGCATACTCATGTCGTTAATAAAGCTGCCGATGGCTTGGTATCAGTTAAACATAATATTTATGGCACCACCGCAACAATTTTGGTGCGCCAAGCCACCAGCTTTTGAGAAATATACTGACGAAGAATGGCGTAAAATAAGCGTGCCGGTAAGCAGAAAACGCACGTATATAGAACATTAAAAAAACTATACTAACACTACACAATCACAGGTTTTAAAAAGCACTGCCGCGCGGGTAGATTCGCGCGCTAATCTCTTATGTGAAATGGACTTGAGATGTTACGGAATAAAGTCGGTGGCTCAAAGTGAGCGTTAATGGCGCAGTGGTTAAGCCCCGAGTTAATTAATTACAGGTTTCGGTTCGATCCACGTTTGTACCGTGCATTTTGATTTTCGAATTTTATATGTATGTATGTACATTTGTCCAACCAACTTGCACTAGGCGAACGTATTTACTAGGGCTTAGAAAATATCAACCTATACAAGCCTAGCCTATGAGCTGACGTGATATTTTGAAGAGTACTTCCATTATTCATTACTTTTCACATAACTTTTCTTTGGTATGTCGCTATCTAGGTAAGTAATGAGCTTATGTAATGTAATATTGTTTTAGCTAATAATGGAGTATCCATGTCTTATATTTGATCCTGATATCCTTTTAATTGCACCAAAAATGGATAGACATATAATACCTCTGGTGGCATGTCAAAAGTTTGTGTACGATAAAACTTTTTTCCAACGAACTCTCACTTCAGACTTTGGTCTAGTATGCACAAAACGATGGTACATTAATGTGAGTATCTTATAATTTTAGGTTATTAGGTTTAAATATGTCATTGTACAATTTTTGTTTTGATTATAATAATTCTCAGATGAGCCAATGTGTTATGATGACCGGAATAGTAGTAGGGGGTATAGTTTTTGGAAGCATAGCTGATAAATATGGTCGCAAGAAGCCTCTTATGCTAGCTATTGTAATTCAAGCAACAGGCAGTTATTTAGTATCATTCGCACCTTACTACTGGACATTCCTTGTGGTATGGTTTATTTTAGCGTTCGGGTGTGGTGGAATTGCAATAATATCATTTGTCATATGCATGGAGGTACGTAAATAGTTATTTTTCAGTATTATCTTATATGTTTTCTTGGAACACGAAGAAAATAATGCAAATGGGTTTTATAAACTTTGTTTTAAAAGTAGGAATTGACGAAATTACAGAACAATTTTGAAGATTGGAGCCGTTATTTTGAATTTTTTGTTTATTAGGTAGTCAGTGGGAGATGGCGTACATATATTCCTGTGGTATACCAGCTACCTTTTGGACTGGGGAATGTTGTATTAGCTCTTTTTTCATATTGGTTAAGAGATTGGAGAAAAATAGAGTTTGCTTTAGCGTCTGTATCATTAATATACCTGCTTTACTGGTTTTGGCTACCGGAATCGCCGAGGTGGTTACTGGCGGTTGGAAAATATGACGAAGCTGTGGGTACGAAATTTTAACTACTTTGAATTTTGTACTAAATTGCATGGATTACATCATGGAAGTAAATTTATCTTTTTTTTATAGAAGTACTTAAGAAGATTGTAGTAGAAAACAAGAGAAACGTTGGTGATATTCGAGCAATCGTAGCTTTATTGCCTAAGAAAAAGAAAAATGACAAGTTACATTTACAGTTTTCTGATTTAATCAAATCTAAGAATATGAGACGCAAAACAATAATTCTTTCATTGATATGGTAATAAAATTTACTTATCTTCGGAAGTAGTAGGTTGGTTAGATAAAAAAACAAATTTAAAGTGCACATATTAACCACCTAGTTTTGATTACTTTAAAAAAAGTCGCCAAAACAGTAATTTATAAATCTGAGTGATTCGATCGAAATGCCCTACATACGCAAAGGTCGGTTTGGCCATTTGAACTAACATAGGCTAATTATAATACAGCAAAAACCTATTTACTGATTTTATATAATTAATTTTCTTAACTCTGTTGCAGGTTCTTTACGGGGTTGTCGTATTTTACATTCTCTCAATATCTTGGGTTGATCGGATCGAGTATATTTCTATTAGTTTCAATGAGTGGCATAATTTCGATACCCGGCGGTTTATTGTGCTTGTTTATTTTAGCAAAACTTGGACGGAAAACTACTTTAAATTTGTTTCAAGTTCTTGCAACTGTATGCTTCTTTGCTATATATATTTTTCCGAAGGAGGATGTGAAAAAAGCTGGCATTAGATTATTTTTTGCTGGATTAGGATTCGCAGCTATAGCGGTAAGTTTAATTGAATACGGAACGAATTGAAAAAAAACGAAATTTATAGGATTAACATCTTTTAAAGATTTATATCGTGAATTTTCAGGGTACTGTTCCAGCTTTATATTTATATACCGGTGAATTATTCCCTACAGTGGGGCGAAACGTAGGCGTTGGTGGAGTAACAACATTTGCACGTATTGCGTCAATGATCGCACCACTACTTGTCCATTTAGATGTTTACATACCAGGTCTGCCCTTATTATTAGTTATATTGATTTCCGCAGGCCAAGTATTTCTTGTATTCCCACTTCCTGAAACTAGAAATAAACCGCTACCCGATTCATTGGAGGAAGCAGAACAATTTCGTTGAATAACGAAATGTGTAAGCAAAAATAAAACTTCTAACGATAAATATTGGTTTTGTACGGCATTAAAATTGTTCTAGTCAGAACTACGTAAATTCTACCATTATTACGACAAATGATGGCAGTGTACCAAAATTTTACCTTAATCTGTTAAAAAAAATTGGTAAGGATATTTTTCATAAGCAGACTTGGTTTGGCTTTGGGTATGTAACATTTATGTTTTGGATTTTTTTTGGTAAACTTACAATAATTTTTTTAGATTGTTTTATATCTCTTAACTACACATTTACCTATTTACTATTTATTTATGATTGTTGTAATATTAAGTTAAATTAATGTTATTATAATATAAAGGTATAAGATATGTTGGACATTTTTTTTCTCCTCTAAACTGTCAATTTATATAATAGTTAAAGATTTTATAGTTTCCTAAACCTGTTCCAATAAGAGGATAAAAGAATATGAGGAAATTCTTTTTATTTATTAAATCACAAAAATAATATGTACATACATAGGTATTATTATGTTAAAACACTACATATACCTATGTACAGTCAGCGTCATATAGATCGTCACAGACAAGATATGCAAATATATAGGTACATCAAAAGTATTCAATTATATCGGTACAACAAAAGTCCTCAAAATAATAGATACATTCACCCTGCTCAAATACATCGGTACATACACAGCGTCAAATATATGAGTACATGCAAGATGCTCATAAATATCGTAGCAGCCATATCGTCATAAGTAACGAAGCAGTCAAGGTGCGCAAAAATATCGGTACATTTGACAAAATTGAACTCTATCTCTATATACTTGTGATACAATTTGGAATAAACTACTTCTGTTACATTCATTTGACACTTTGTATTAACATTATAGGTTGTCCGGAAAGTTCGTTCTGATTTTCGATATAAAGCTAACAATAGACTGTAGCTGAAGTGGATTCATTTTCGGATTTCCACCATTATCAAACGTCACAAAAATTTCTATATTGTGAATAATTTCATTTCATTGGTTGAGATAAAAACTAATTTTTAAAATTTTATCCAATAATAAAAGACGTTTTAGGTATAGAGTCGTACCAATATAACATTTCCAAAAATTTAAGAGAACAGGGTTTCAATTTTCCTTATAAAGCGGCACGAACTTACTGGGCAACCCAATATTTTTCTTCTCCTGTCATAACGCTTAAATATAAAAGTTTGTCACGCCGAATATGACAGATACGTATTAACTAATATCAAATTTTGCCTTGTCGCAATATATATAATACTAGTTTGGCGCAGTATTCTAGTATGTTTGCCTTAATATGTAAGTTTACCGGTTCGAATCTCAGGCTACTTTTTTTCATTTTATCAATCACGGGGTTATTTTTTCGTAACCAGTAAAAATTTAGGTAATGTAAAATTTTGCTCGACAATTTTTTTTTATAATTTTCGCTGTTGGGTAGAAAGAAATTTAAATAAAGTTAACAACAATTATGT